ACCTGTCTCACTGCTCAGATGTGACGCCTGTCATCTTCCTGTGTGTTTCTGATGACCTGTCTCACTGCTCAGATGTGACGCCTGTCATCTTCTTGTGTGTTTCTGATTACCTGTCTCACTGCTCAGATGTGACGCCTGTCATCTTCCTGTGTGTTTGATGACCTGTCTCACTGCTCAGATGTGACGCCTGTCATCTTCCTGTGTGTTTCTGATGACCTGTCTCACTGCTCAGATGTGACGCCTGTCATCTTCTTGTGTGTTTCTGATTACCTGTCTCACTGCTCAGATGTGACGCCTGTCATCTTCCTGTGTGTTTGATGACCTGTCTCACTGCTCAGATGTGACGCCTGTCATCTTCCTGTGTGTTTCTGATGACCTGTCTCACTGCTCAGATGTGACGCCTGTCATCTTCTTGTGTGTTTCTGATTACCTGTCTCACTGCTCAGATGTGACGCCTGTCATCTTCCTGTGTGTTTGATGACCTGTCTCACTGCTCAGATGTGACGCCTGTCATCTTCCTGTGTGTTTCTGATGACCTGTCTCACTGCTCAGATGTGACGCCTGTCATCTTCTTGTGTGTTTCTGATTACCTGTCTCACTGCTCAGATGTGACGCCTGTCATCTTCCTGTGTGTTTGATGACCTGTCTCACTGCTCAGATGTGACGCCTGTCATCTTCCTGTGTGTTTCTGATGACCTGTCTCACTGCTCAGATGTGACGGCCATCATCTTCGTAGCAGCAAGCAGCAGCTACAACATGGTGATCAGAGAGGACAACTCCACCAATCGGCTGCGAGAATCTCTAGACCTCTTCAGATCCATCTGGACCAACAGGTGCTCTCATCAACCCTCTCTGCTCTGTGATTGGCTGCATTCAACCCTCTCTGCTCTGTGATAGGCTGCATTCAACCCTCTCTGCTCTGTGATTGGCTGCATTCAACCCTCTCTGCTCTGTGATAGGCTGCATTCAACCCTCTCTGCTCTGTGATTGGCTGCAGGTTTCTGAAGACCATCTCAGTGATCTTATTCCTGAACAAACAGGATGTGCTCGCTGACAAGATTCTGGCTGGAAAATCCAAACTGGAGGATTACTTCCCTGAATACAACAACTACCAAGTACCTGCTGAAGGTACAGGTAAACACCTGTACATGTGTGTGTGTGTGTGTATGTGTGTCTTAATACTACATATATACGTGTCCACACCCGCTGACGTCTCTGTCCATCTGTCTCCAGCTGTCCCAGACGCTGATGAAGACCCCCGAGTAACCAGAGCCAAGTTCTTCATTAGAGACGAGTTTCTGGTAAAAACAAAATGATGATGATGATGGTGGTGGTGGTGATGATGATGAAGAACGTGTTTTACAGTGCTCTTTGAAACTATTGATACATGGTTCTGTGATATGGATCCAGTTTGAGTGAATTATTGTCTCTGACCTGTCTGTCTGTCTGTCTGTCTGTCTGTCTCTCTCTCAGAGGATCAGCACAGCGAGTGGTGATGGGAAACATTACTGTTATCCTCACTTCACCTGCGCCATTGACACCGAGAACATTCGCCGCGTCTTCAATGACTGTCGTGACATCATCCAACGCATGCACCTGCGGCAGTACGAACTGCTCTGATTGGCCAATGAAGAAGCTGATCTGGTGTCTTATCAATACTGATAGATCCTGATCGATTTACTCTTTCTCTGTTCTGTCACAGACATTTATCACTGCAGCAGCTATTGATCATGACAGACTCGGAGAATGTGTCTTTTTTGTCCGCTGTGCCCGTCTGGTGCAGGGGATTGTGGGTAGTGTAGTTCTGTCAGTTGAGAGGAGCACAGGATGTTTAGTTTCCTGTCGTTGCCGCGGCAACAGTCATATGAGACAGGTTTAGAAAAGTAAAAGCTTACAAAGGCTCAAAAACAAAATTTGAATTTAAATATATTTTTTCATGTTTCTGAACTTGTTACAGTTTATTATTGTTATTATTGTTAATCTTTTCCCTGATTGGCTGCCGTACAGTCTGATGTCACTTTATGACTGAATTAACACCTGGAAGATCAGACTGATGTGTCCTGGCGTGACTGTAGATTTATTTCTGTCCTTTCTAGAGTTTCTTAGTCAGTTTGATTCAACATAAAACATGACATGATATAAATATATATATATAAACCTACACACATAAATATTTACTGCTCAAAAACCTGAAAATTATATTAAAGTTTTTTTGTCAAACATTTGATTTCTTGTCTGTTTTTTAAACCTCAGGTGTCTCCATTTATACTAAATATATATAATATATTATATAGAACTGTGCGTTTGCTACGTAATGTTTCTGTCCCACAGTGACGTGATGTCACGCCTCTGATGTGGCTGATCAGTGAATATTGATCAGTGTATCTTTGACCACATTTAACTAATCACATGTTCAAGTGGCTTGAAGTTTAAAACAGACACTGTTCATTTGCTTTAATCTTTTATTTTACTCTTTAGATGTAACTTTTTAATTAATGAATTCATTCATGTCACTTTTAGCAAACCAAACAAACTGAAAACAACCCATAATTTCTTATTATTCACATTTGACCCATAACACCACTGATGTCACTTCATTCAGAGATGTTAAAGATAAAAATATTAATAACCCATCAAGCCTTGTTGTGATGTTTTACACATCTAAACTTGAAAACGCGTCGACTTCAGAGAGCTAAAAACAAAATACTTATCATCGCAGGGCCGGCTCCAGACTTCTGGAGGTCCCTCTCGTTGTAATTTGATGCCTGAACTGACGGATGTGTATTATATTGATCAGTTTAATGTACAAATCAGCATGTGAAGACCGACCGGCAGCAACACGGTCTGTACATACAGCGATGCATCAGCAGCACAAACAGACTGGTACAGGCATGTACATACAGACTGGTACAGACTGCTACAGACACGTACAGACTGGTACATACAGACTGGTACAGACTAGTACAGACTGGTACAGACTGGTACATACAGACTGGTACAGACTGGTACAGACACGTACAGACTGGTACATACAGACTGGTACATACAGACTGGTACAGACTGGTACATACAGACTGGTACAAACACGTACAGACTGGTACAGACTGGTACATACAGACTGGTACAGATACATACAGACTGGTACAGACTGGTACATACAGGCTGGTACAGATACATACAGACTGGTACATACAGACTGGTACAGATACATACAGACTGGTACATACAGACTGGTACATACACGTACAGATTGGTACATACAGACTGGTACAGACACATACAGACTGGTACAGACACGTACAGTGTTGCAGCCGTCAAATTGAAGTTATTACTTTCGTATTTGTTAACTTAGTTTTACAGTGGAAATGAATTGTTTATTCTGCTTATGGTGGCCTATGGTATTGCTATGATTGTTTATATTATTATGTTTGTTTTTTATGTTTCCTGGGGGAGTGTTGTGCGTAACAGGAGGATATATGGGGCAGGTGATTGCGCGGCGGCGCATTGGAAAAACCTTAAATGTTTGGTTAAGAGGCGGTGGTTGGAAACAGTTTTTTGACCACGTAATTTAAGTTTTTCGTTGCCGCACAAGACCTTTTTGTTTTCTTTTGGATGTCTTGATAATTAAGCATGCAGCTTGGAACGGATTTAAGTTGTACAAATAAAAGTTAAGATTTGTTTAAACCGTGGCGAGCGAATGTTTGTGGAGCGTGAGTGAAACGGACCACCCCTTCAACACCACGGCTTTTAACAAGAAAAGCAAACACATTTAAAGTCAAAAAACTCCATGGATTGAAGATAAAAGGAAGTTGTCTTCAAAGCAACAAAGAACACACACGCAGCGAGACAGTGGATGAAGTTTCTGCGGTTTGTGAGTACCGGATTTCATTCATTGATTATGATGAACAGAAAGGAGCCGCCACGCTCCGATTCAAACAAAGAAGCAGCGCAGCGCACATGCGCTCAATAAAAGTGGATATTGTTGCTTGCTGTGGGTCAAATATATTGATGCAAAGGTGGAATTCAAAGTGAATAAAGTATATCCACCTGCATGTTACGATGTCTGGCACTGGAAAGGCTGATGAGACGCTGCTGATAAAAACAATCGCATCACGCCGGGGAAAGCTTGGCGTTTTGATGCGCAAAAAGAATGAAATTAATAATCTGTTAGAAGCTGGGGAAAGTAAATAGACAGTTAACAAACATGTTGAAGCTTTCAATAAGTACTTGGGGGAGTTTATGGAGTTGCAAGTGGCGGTACAAAATCTCCTTTCAAGTGAAGAAGAAAAGGAAGCGGATCATACGGACTGGTATGAGCCTAAACTAATCCATTTTCGAGATTTCTTATTTGACGTTAAAACATGGTTGGCTGGTGACGCGGAGAAAGAAACGGACAAGAATGAGGAGCAAGAGGAGCAAGAAGAAGCGTGTGCGTTATTAGTGGGACCGGAGGATAGTGCGTCCCAGACCAAAAAATCATCCCCAAGCAAGGCTCCAAGCAAAGCCGCCAGCTCCTCCAGCGCATCCTCATCCTCCTGCGCTTCTACTGCATGCTTAAAGGCTAAGGCAGAGCGAGCTGCTCTAATGGCTAAAGCTCAAGCCTTGGAAATGAAACATGCTCTTGACATAGAAGAAGCTCAACTAAAGGCAAGGAGGGAAAAGCATGACGTGGAGGCTGAATTGGCTGCAGCAGAAGCCAAATTGAATGTTTTCATGGAGAGTGAATTATCACAGGCTGCATCTGCACAACCACCCTCATCATTAAAGCAACAACTAAAAGCTTCACAACCATCAACATCAAAGCAACCAAAATCAGAAATTGTAACACCAATGCGCCAGTCTGAGGTTACTGGAACATCTACAGAGTACAAAATTCCAGTAACATCTAAAAAATCTCAAAACCCTCAAAGCTTTCAGCAACCAAATGTTTCCCATCAAGCTACACCATGTAAAGCAAAGGCTAAAAGCAAACACCTGAGTTATGACCAAGAGGATGAGGATGGATCCTCAATTTCAAATAAAAATACAATGGATGAAAGTTGTCTCACTGATGTATTAAAGAGACAGAATGAAATAACTGGACTGCTCGTAAAGCAACAACAAGCAGCTCTTCTCCCTGCCAGAGAGATTCCTACATTTGACGGTGACCCTCTGCAGTACCGATCATTTATTAAGGCCTTTGAGCAAGGCATAGAACGCAAGGTGGATGATGTGCAAGACAAATTGTTCTATTTGGAGCAATACACAAAGGGAGCCCCCAGCCAACTGGTTCGTAGCTTTCTACACATGGACCCAGACACAGGGTTCAGAGAAGCAAAGGAACAACTTGAATGGCATTTTGGCAACAAAATGAAGCTGACATCAGCACACATGGACAAGGTCCTGCGTTGGCCTTCAATAAAAGCGGAGGATGGACCAACATTGAGGTCTTATGCGCTGTATCTGCGAAGCTGCTTCAATATCATGAAAGAGGTGAATTTTATGGAAGAACTGGAAACATCATCTCACATGAGAACAATTATATCCAAGTTACCTTTTAAGCTCCGAGACAGATGGAGAACAATCAGTTGTGACATTCAAGATAAGAGCAAGCGACGAGCAAGGTTCAAAGATCTCGTCGAATTTGTGGAAAAACAGTTGCGAGTTGTGCTGGATCCCTTTTTTGGGGATATACAAGACATGACTGATGGGAAAGGGTTGATAAAAGCAACAAAAAGGCCAACACAAAGACCCCCATTTAAATCAGCCAGTAGGGGGAGCAGTTTTGCTACTGCTGTTGCAACCATGTCAGAGAAAACACAGCAAGATGAAAGTAAACAAATCAAACCCAAAGTCAACCAAGGGGAGTTAAAACACGATTCTTCACATCCTCTTGACAAACACTGCCTATACTGCAGTAAAGACCACTCCTTGGAGTTTTGTGGTGTCCTAAAACACAAACCTAACAAAGAGAAAATCGAGTTCATGAAAAGTAAAGGTCTGTGCTTTGGATGTTTTGGAAAAGGGCACATGAGCAAGTACTGTAAAAACCGAATGACTTGTCAGATTTGCCATCAAAACCACCCAAGCTTACTGCACATTGATAAGAAAGAAGAAGTGGAATCGTATTGCAACACAAAACAATCTGGAGAAGAAGCAAAAGTCACGTCAAGCCTTGTGTCCCTGGATGCTGGCAGCCCTACTGGGGCCGGTAATACTGAATGCAAGTTGTCTATCGTGCCGGTTCAAGTAAAGCTGTGCAAAGGTACCAAGATTGTGCAGACGTATGCTTTCCTTGACCCAGGAAGCACTGCAACCTTTTGTACAGAGGAGTTAATGACGGAGTTAAACACAAGTGGAAAAAGGGTGAAAGTTCTCCTTAAAACTATGGGGCGGGAGAAGCCTGTGCCCAGTTACAGAATTTCTGGAATGGAAGTGGCTGCGCTCAAAGGAAGCGCATTCATGAAGTTACCAGACGTGTTTTCACAAATGTCTATCCCTGTTACAAAAGACAACATCCCTACAGAGGAGGACCTCAGAGAGTGGCCTTATCTGAAGGAGGTTGAACTGGAACCAATCAACGCAAGCATTGGGCTTCTGATTGGCGCAAATGCTCCAAAAGTCTTGGAGCCGTGGAAAGTCATTAACAGCGAAGGTAATGGACCGTTTGCTGTAAAAACCCTCCTAGGGTGGGTAATTAATGGCCCACTTGGGCACAGGGAGGACAGTGACATGAGGGATTGTCATCCTGCACGGGTTAACAGGATAGCCATTGCCAACTTGGAAGAGCTCCTAACCCAGCAGTACAACCAAGACTTTGCTGAACAGCATTACGAACAAAAAGAAATGTCAGTGGAGGACAAGAAGTTCATGAGCATCATCTCAGACTCAGCAGTGCTTAAAGATGGACACTACTACCTCAAGTTGCCTTTTCGTAAGCCAGATGTGACCATGCCCAACAACAGGCATATGGCCCTGCAAAGAGCACAACAACTGCTGAAAAGGTTCAAACGAGACCAAACATTCTTGGAGGAATACCAAGCATTTTTGCAGGATGTTCTGGCAAAAGGATATGCTGAGGTTGTACCACGAGAGCAGTTGGTAACTGAAAGTGGCAAAGTCTGGTATATACCGCATCATGGGGTCTACCATCCACGCAAAAAGAAATTGCGTATGGTGTTTGACTGTGGAGCCACGTTTCATG